AATAGATTCACCCTTATGATTTGGAATTACACAAAAGTTCAAAATTCTTTTATGCAACATCCAATCAGCATCAATAAAGTGAGCAGTAAGTACCATGTAATTGATGTTTTGAATGGAGGTCCATGTATCTATGGTTAAACACACTCTATATGCACTCAAATCATTCTTTAGCTTAGTCCTTTCTGAATAAAAAAGATTAAGCACATCCTTAGCAATAGTATTCCGACTAGGTACTTTCCAACGAGGGCATGCAACTCTACAAAAATAGCGAAAACCCTCTCCTTCCACATGACCAAAAGACAATTCGTCTACAATTACCATATGCACACATGCCTTAGTGATTTCTTCTTGAGTAAATCCTATCGCTACCAAGTCTTTTGTTTTACCATAAGATAAAACTTTTTGTCTTTTACTCAACATCTCTTTATTAGGTGGGTACTCTAGGCATTTTTCCATATGATTATTCAAAGCAGTAATACCATTATGCTTAGGGTGAGCAGCAAAACCCTTATGTTTGCAATAATTACAAAATGCTTTGATCTTACCACATTCAAACTTTCTGGACAAATGCCCCCATATCTCTGCCCTTTCATTTTTCTTCAATGCCTCCAAGAACTCTGCTTCGGTCATCCCCCCCAAATCAATTCTCTCTTTTGGATCAGAACTAGTAACTCCATCAGACCCTTCGGTTGGTACAGTTTCTTTAGATGGTAATGGTTCATCAAAGCTATCTGCCTCCTTTCACAAAAAGAGATAATTTCCAAAAATAATAAAGAAAAATCACTGAATCACATAAATAAAGTTGAACAAACATGAAAATCTGAAGTTAGTATATACATTTGCCAAAAATAATAATCACATATCAGTGAACCACATATATACATTTGAACAAACCTGAAGATGTGAAGTTTTTGCTTTCGTAGTGTTGGATGCAGTAGATCCCTTGAATGTAAGGGAAGAAAAAGCCCTCTTCATATCTTAACTTCAGTGCACAAATAATATCCAATACTGGAAGAAAAAGAAAAGTAATGGAAATTAAGTTAACTTAGTTAAGTATAAAGCTTTTTCTATCACATCACAGCAACAAAAACATACATCAGCCTTCAGCATGATATCCCAAAAAGCAAAAAATTCAACTCCATAAAAAGGCCAGCCACGCAGCGGGATTACCGCCCAGGCCTTCCCTGCATATTATGCATAGTCATCTGCAAATCTCAGTCAGGACTAACCCAACTATAAAACCACACCACGAACAGTAGAATCAACCCTCTTTATAAGACGACCAAACTCAGAGAAACACGGCACGAACAACAATAGCAAACACCTAAACCGACCCTTCTTTACAGAATCTGAGTAGTGAACAGTAAAAACGCGATTGACATCAGTACCTTTTGGGTTTCAGGCCAAGATTCATCATTCCAAAAAACAAATCCATGTTCGGAAATGTAATTTGAGATGAATTGAACTGAAAAATATCAAAAAAACTGAGCCCAGCACTAATCGAACTAACAACCAACACAACATGAACAGTGAAAACCGCGATTCATAGAGCTGGGGAAAAATTCCCATTCCCATCTTCAATTTTACATCGAGAAGTAAAAAAGAATTAAAATTAGTAAAATACCGATTGGACGAGCTGAGCTAGAGACCTGCTGTAAACTCTAGAGAATAGAATCAATAGTTCATGTCTGCTTCACATCTTGAATCGATCTACCATGTCTTCGACGGCGGCTCATTTTTTCGAGAGCTAAGCCTCTTACGTTTTAGGTTAAAAGATTATGGAGTACTACTGGACTACTGGACTCGTAAAAAGCCTCTTAACTCGTAAGCTTTCAGTCTTGAGCGTTGACCACATGACCGGCCATGGCCATATAATCCATATAAAATAAATGCTTTTTTATATTTATAAATATTTCGGTTTTTTCGGTTTTTTCGGTTTCGGTTCGATTCAAAATCAAACATGTTCGGTTCGGTACGGTTTTTTATGTTCGATTTCCGTTTTTTCATTGGTTCGGTTTATTTGGTCGCGGTTTGATTTGATTTGATTCGGTTTTCGGTTTTCGGTTCTACGAACCCACCCATACTCATGGGGGGTCACTCTGGCACATACCGAACTTATAAATGCCTCTCTCAACAATTTTACTAGTCAGGCATGCTTAAGATGGTGGAACAATTTGTACGGGCTTGTGATGTGTGCCAACGTATCAAATCCTCCACGTTGCGGCCAACAAGACTTCTTCAACTCCTCCCGTTACCAGAATACATCTGGGAGGATCTCTCCATTGATTTCATTGATGGACTTCCACCCTCCCACGGGTATACTTCCATCTTTGTCGTCGTGGACCGCCTCAACAAATATGCCCATTTCACTGCCCTCCGTCACCCTTATACCGCCAAAACAGTGGCTGAAACCTTCACTGCTAATATTGTTCGTCTCCACGGCATCCCAAATTTCATTCTCTCTGACAGGGACCCCCTCTTCTTAAGCTATTTTTGGCAGCAACTATTTTCAGCTTCTGGTACTACCCTCAAGAGATCTACCGCCTATCACCCCCAAACCGATGGACAAACTGAGGTCGTTAATCGTTGCCTCGAGCAAGACCTTTGTAGTTTTGCCCATAACCATCCCGCCAGGTGGTTCACATTTCTTCCCTGGGCAGAATACTGGTATAATACTACTTATCATAATACCACAGGCATGACACCTTTTCAAGCAGTCTACGGGCGGACACCTCCTCCATTGGTTCGCTATCCACCTGGGTCTTCTATTGTTGACGAAGTTGACAAATGTTTGGTGGGCCGCGATCAACTTTTGAATCATCTCAAAGCCACACTCTCTGCAGCCATGCAACACATGAAGGACACCACAGATCAGCATCGTCGGGATGTTAGCTTTACCGTCGGAGATGACGTTTACCGGAAACTTCAACCTTATCGCCAGCACTCCGTGTTTCATCGAGCTTTTCACTAACTCAGTGCACTCAATTACGAGCCTTCAAGATTCTTGCACGGGTGGGCGAGGTCGCTTACCGTCTTCAATTGCCAGCCGATGCCAAAATTCGTCATGTCTTCCATGTCTCTCTTCTCCGCCGTGCCATTACTACACACGCTGCTGTCCCACGTTGCCACCACTCAGTTCAGACGGGCCTCCATGCTCCAGCCCATGTTGGTTCTCGATACACGCACAGTCATGCAGGGAAACCGGCCTTGCCAGCAAGTGTTTATCCAATGAGAATATTTACCCCCTGAAGACACTACCTGGGAAGATCTCACTGTCATTCACAATCAATTTCCCTCCTTTAACCTTGGGGACAAGGTCGGCCTCACGGGCAGGGGTATTGATACGCCGCCGCCACATCGTATGACGAGCACTTTGTCGTAGTGTGCCTCAAATTAAATTCACTACTAAGGGCTAATACCGTAGTATAGCGTAGTAGAGTTCGTATCCACAGGGAAATGAGCTTTTCGCGTATGTGTAAGCGTAATAAATAAAAGTAAACGGAAGGGGGAATTGGATATTTTGATAATTGAGAAAGCAAATAAGACAATTAAATGAGTGAAATAAAATATCAAAGGTAATTAGTCTTGGTTTTGCTATTATCCACTTAATGAAATGTTCGTTGATCTCGGTTATATCTTTAACTATCTTCCTCTCGAATACTCAATCGAAGAATATATCCAGTTCATCGAGGGTAGTTATTAATAACGAGACACGTTCATTAATAAAACTTAATACCGAATTAATATAGAACACGCGCCGTATATTTACTCGATAGTAGCAATAAATTCAAGATGAAAACGATTGAAATTGATAACCTCAACACAAGCGGTTTATTGGTTTAATCAATATAATTAATTCCCCTTAGATTATTAACCATGAGACACATGCATTAATAATCCAAGTTTACTACCGTGAAAAGATCGAACGATTAACAAGCGTTTTCGTCGATCGATTCTAGTAATAATTAATATATGAGACAAAACTAATTGATCATTTAAGTAATGCTCAAAATATTAAAATGAAATATGAATAGGAATTAATTAATATTCAAGGAAGAATATTAAAGAAGATATAAATCCTACTATAACTAATGTCAAGATGTTAACTAATTGTCATTTTAGTAACACTCGCCAACATTAATACCGAGGAAGAAAATAAATACTACTCTAACTAATGTCAAGATATTAACTAATTATCATCTTAGTAACACTCCCCAACATTAATATAGAGATAGTATTACGGGAAAAATTAATATTCAAGGAAGAAGATTAAAGAAAATAACTCACAACTTACAATTCATTAAGCTTCAAAGTAGCAAAACCAAAATGGAAAGACTACCTAAATTACAAGAATAAAGTGTATATGAAAGAGGGGATTAAATTGGTATCTAAAATAGGAAGGAAAGAGGTATTTTTATAGGAGAAGTGAGGTGGTTGGGTCTAAGACATAGTCTGATTTTCCCATGTTCACTTGTTTTATTTGATCTTTTATGATCTTCGGGTCGAATCATATCCGATTTTTCACACATCTTTGTCCTCAATGAAGCTTACTCTTGTCTCCAATGCTCCTTCCTTATGCTCCCAAGCTCCTTCCTCTTCTTTTCATCATGTTTTGCTTAAATGTCAAAATATCTTAATATCTTTTAATTCTTCTTTAATTTTAGAAGATAAAGATTACACTGTAATTGTACAAAAGCTAAGTAAACATAATGTAAAACCATTCTAAAATGTGGTGTTTATGTACTTCTAAATAGTACGCATCACCGTAGCACACGTGAACGCATGCTTAACTCCAAGTTTTACGACGATAACACTTATGTTAATTGTCTACACGCATGGACTGATAGAGTTGGGCATGGACTGATAGAGCTGGGAAGTAATGCACGTGGAGGACTGCCGGCATCTTGCAAGACTTAGCATAAATTGTTTTTATTTTAATTATTACCTCCTTTTCTTTTAGTAAGTGTCGGTTATTATCCTATTCTCTTGACTATCAATAGGGGAGAGCGTGTGGGTGGTTCTGTGACTTCTGTCCAACTTTCACACCCACTAGGCCACTATCTTTAATATTTGAAGTTGTATTAAAACGGAGCCATGCTCCTGGAAAAAGGCAAAATGAGAATTCCTCTTTTGTCACCCTTCTAAGCCTCATGGTTTTGATCTTTTTCTTATATGTACATTCCTTAGTCATGAGCCGAACGTTAACCTCATTTGTAAAGCTCTTCCTGACTGAGCTCGAATCGGAACATCCCTATTACCTAATCGAGCCCTAATAAAGTCTATACCGGCCTATTTGTTTATATACCCACACACACCGGCCAATCGGCCATCCAATTTTTACTGGAGTGATCAGGGAAGCATACCGCGTTCACCTCTAATCAGAACAATTTTGAAGTTAACAAATACTACCGCATTGTAATTTTTTATCAATTCCGCTAGCAATTTAAATTTTATTTCAATTAACACCTTTTAATTTTTGGATTCGTTTGATAAATTCAATCAGTAGTAATCGATATACCTGATTTGAATTATTCTGCAGAGGTAAGAAATTTGGACAGGAAGATGTCTCTGGATTTGGTTCTGAAGCCATCATGCAGTGGCTGCGGATCGTCGTCGGAGCTGTACGGAAGCACTTGTAAGCACTTGACTCTCTGCGTGTCGTGTGGCAAAACCATGGCTCAGAACCACGGGACCTGCAACAAGTGCGGCACTCCAATCACACGCTTGATTCGGGTTCGCTTATATATGTGATCTGATCACCTGCTTATCTGGGCACATTCTGATTTAATTAAATGGAAGAAGTAATTTATCATAATTTTTCAGATGTTATGGCAGTTTTGTTTTGTTGTAATTTGTGGGTTGGACAGAACAATAAAAGAAATTAATCTTAAAGTATTGAAATCTGACTGTTAAAGAAGCCATGCTCGAGCCATCTTAAGTTTTAATTAATTTTTCTAATAGCGAGTATGTTACTTTTGCATTCACTATGAAGAAATTGAAGATATACACACACACGCAGTTACAGTATCTTCCCCTTTTCTCATGTTCATGTACTGAAACCTAATGTACACGACTTATCTGCTTTGAATCCAGGTGCTATTTTCTCTCAATATTCATAAGCTGATTCTTGGCCTTGAATTGTTGTGTGAATAGGAATACAATGTTCGAGCATGCTCTACCAGCGAAAAGAATTACTTCATTGGGAGATTTGCTACAGGTTTGCCAAATTTTTCAAAGAAAAAGAATGAAAACAAGTGGTGTCTGCAGAAAGAAGGTTTGCAAGGACGCCAAGTAACTGATGCTCTGCGGGTAATAGTCACGTTTTCTACTTAAATCACCTTTATTTTCTATTAGCTGCTAATAGTTGCATGGTTTCGCTCTTACTATTGTCGTGTTAACTAGGTCACACACTATATTTGAAACTACGTATCTAAATGTCTTATACCATGTTGTTTGCCTCTATACACACAGTTTAGTCTTACCTACTTGAGCTTGTTTTCTTTTTTGTATATTACATGAAAAGAAACTACTGTGGAAGCCTGGTTTTGCACAGTGGACAGTTGTTAGACATAGTTCATTCAAAGTTCAGCCTTAATGACTCTGTTCTTAAACCAAACCATTTCCATAAATTTGGAGTAAAAATAAGCTTAAAGAGAATCACTTGGCCTGCAAAGACGAGGAATGTTGTTATTGATATAAATTATGTTATTGATTGTTAATTTATTCCTTACACAACTATCCAAGTGAATTGATTTTGAAGCTGATGGAGATGATTTCGAGTTAATCAATGTAGGCATATGGTTGTACGTATTATAAATATTTATATATTATGGTCCTTATAGGAGAGAGATTATAGGGTCAAGGGGAGAAGGCAGTAAATAGCTGGAACATAATTAAATTAAGTTATTAAAAAGGATGATACTAGTGCTCAAGGGTTTAAGATATGTTCAGAATATCCTCGAATAAATCAAAGCAATGGAATTCATGTAGGTGGTAGCTGTTTCGTGCATGTTAGCAAGTCATTGTTGAGATGAACAGTTCACGTAGCTATTTTCCGACATATTTGTTTAAGTTCCTATTCACTTCTCATCGGCATTGGAAGCTGAACTTTGGTACTCAAGCAGTATCCATGCATTTAAGGATGAGGTTGGCAAATCCATGCCATCTAATAATCTTTGATAGCTCTAGATCAAAAGGCTTGATCATTTGCATGAAGTTTATGCAATAAAATAAAAATGATTAATCAATAATTGTAATGTACTGAATTTATTTAGCCACCAAGCAGAGCTGCAGAAGAGTTTCACTCTTTTACAGCTATACTTTTGTGGTTGGCCAGTTGGATGTGAAAAGTCATTGCAGTATATCTTGAAGCACTTGGATAGTAAATAACTAGATACCTTAAGCAATCATGTCGCTTCTTACTACCATCAAGTATTTTAGCTCATCAGGGTTTGGTTGGTCAAGCTAATAGCGACCCTGTTTTAAGAAGTGCAGATCTTTCAATTTTTCCCATGTGATTGCAGGTTTTCACGGCCTGTATCTTTCATTCTAAACTTTATAGTTTTACCATCAAGTGATTGCATGTGCAGGAGAAGTTTAAGAATAGGCCCTGGTTATTGGAGGATGAATCAGGTCAGTCTCAGTTCCATGGTCATCCTGAGGGTGCACAATCAGCAACCTACTACCTACTCATGTTGCAGGGTAGAGAATTTGTTGCCATTCCTGCTGGTTCCTGGTACCTAGTTAATCAATTAATGTTTTCTGTTATGCAACTTATGCCATCAATTTCTTATTTTGTAAAGATGGCTCTTATAACTAACTGAAGTGTGCATATGTTTTATGTTACTATTATTACTACTATTGCTATTGCTATTACTAACTTGTTGATGATCTCAGGTACAACTTCAACAAAGTTGCACAGTACAAGCAGCTTACCTTGGAAGAAGCGGAAGAAAAGATGAATAACAGAAGGAAAACTGCTGATGGTTACCAAAGATGGATGATGAAAGCAGCAAGTAATGGACCTGCTGCCTTTGGAGAAGCTGGAAAATTTGATGACAAAGAAAGTGGAGCTGGTGGTGGGAGGGCAAGGAGAAAATCTGGTGATGATGAGGAGGGCAATGCCTCAGACCAAGGAGAAGAAGATGAAGAAGAGGAGGCATCTAGGAAACGTAGATCAGGACTCAACAAAAAAGGGGGTGATGATGATGAAGAGGGACCCAGAGGTGGTGATCTTGATCTGGATGATGATGATATTGAAAAAGGTTGACATCTTGTTTCTGTTAATTAAGTATGGTTTTATTTAGATACACTCTCAAGTCTCAGCTTGATAATTTCTAAAATTTAAATGAAAAATAACCCCTGCCTTTTATATTCCCTAACATGTTAAAGCAGTGTTTTATGAAAATGAAAAAAACCTACTTTTCCAAACCTTCCAAACATACCCTAAGGTTTCTAAAATAGATCTTTACGTTCTATGATTTAACAGTTTCAAATGATATATTTGTACATTTATCATCTTAGTTATGTGCATCATAATAAATCTAGGAAGGTGTTCTTATTTGTCTGATATCTATATATTAGCTGTCCCTAGGTTACGAATGATGCAGATTTTTTCCACTCTTAGCTGTGACAGATAAATGCTAGTATACTACCCTATGTATTCCCTTCATTTATGTCTCTCAATCTCATTGAACATGAGGTTATTTTGGATTTACTACTGTACATTCTTTGTGTATCTTTCCCTACACACTATTTTTTAAGAACATTAAATTTATGCAATTGCTTAAAGTTTTTTATTCCTTTATTTATGAGGTTACTTGCTACCACTCCAATGGGAACTTTGGTTTGATTCTTAGCTTCATGGCATGAAGTCTTTATTTCTTTACATGCTTTCACAGGTGATGATTGGGAGCATGAAGAAATTTTCACAGATGATGATGAAGCTCCTGGAAATGATCCGGAGGAAAGGGAAGATTTGGCTCCTGAAATCCCCGTTCCTCCGGAGATTAAGCAGGTTTGTTGTGCAAATTTGACCCCGTAATGAGATTTTTATGATACTGAAGTTGATGAGAATTAACCCCTTGTTTGGTTCAAAGGAGGGGATGGGAGGAGAAATGGAGATACGGAGAGGGGTGGAAAGTGGATGAGCATGAAAAGGTGTTATGGTTGGTTAAATTGAAGAGTGGAGAGGAATAGTTGTTTATAGAAAATGAATTCATATGATATGGTTTTTGTTGCAACTATAATATAGTAATCTATCTAAACATAATAATGATTTAGAACAACTTTGATAATAAGAAAGATGAAATGAAATTAACAAGAATGATCACTCATTCACTCCAGAATACGTCAAATCAGGCGAGTACAAGCTTGAAGGAGTTCATACCCCCCCCCCCCCCCCCACCACCACTGTCACCATCAACCAGAAAACAACCCCACTTTCCTTCGCTTCTCTCCGAATTCTTCCAACTTACTAAGGTCTAGAAGAGGGTGTTTGTAAAGGTGTTACATCTTCATCTTTAAGCTTTAAGTTTTTAACAGTTCAATGTGCTTGGGCCTAGGCTGATGCATTTCATAAATAACTCTGATATGGAACACGTAATATTGTTTTTCGTGAGAGCTTTGGTAATATATACCTTTTGCTTCATGGATTTTTTTTCATACTAAAAGTTCATGAGTTGAAATGTTGAATCAGGGATTACAATACCATACCACCACTTTGTATCATGCTTTGACTTTGTTACTCCGTATTATTACTATATATTTTGTAATCACGAATGCAAAAGAAGTCATGATCATGTTCTGCTATTTGTGGTGAAATTTTTATGGTGATGTTTATGCTTTGAAATTGCTTAACACTGAAAGGAGAGTACTGAAAGAAGGCGCCATTCTTCATTGGGTGTATCAATCTATTATTCTAGAAAGAATGCGAGTTGATGCACCCTCCACTCTTTGCTTTACTCCCTCTTGTGCCCACTTAAAAGCATAAGAGAAAGGCGGCGATAAGAAGCGAAACCTCTATCATGATTCACTGAAAATACCGGTGAGGGCAGTAGCGGAAGTACCAACTCTCCGAGGACTTTAGAAGTAGGGGCGCTGCTTCACATGATTTTTTGATGAGACAAAATATATTGTAGTAACAATAATTAAAAAAATTAGCGAACTGAATTATATCAATTGACACTATAAGTTTCATTTCACTATAACTCTGATAATAAAAGGGCAGCCCAGTGCACATTGGCGTTCCCGTAAGGAGAGGGTTTCGGAGAAGGGTCCCACCACAAGGGTGTACAAGGGTCAAGCCTTCCCTTCTCATTTTAACAAGAGGCCGCTCCCAAGACTTGAACCCGTAACTTTGATAATAATAATAAACAAAAAATGAAAAATCAATTGTCCAAAGGGGGCAATACAAAATAACCAGGAATACATGAAAAGCAAAAATGACCAAATAACTACCAAAAGAATTAAGCAGCAGTCGAACGATTACATGTTCGCACACCAATTTTGGGTAGTTGTGACTTGTGATTGAATAATTAAAGGTGTGAGTTTTTACATGTAAACAACAGCAGTAAAGCAGGGTCTTCCATTGCTTAAATCTTTATGTAATCTTTTAATTACAATATGCTTTGGAGACATAGGAATATCACCTTTATTCTTGTTTCAGGATGATGAGGATGAGGATGAAGCTGATGGGGAAGGAGGAGGGGGTTTGAGCGAATCAGGTAAAGAGTTGAAGAAAATTCTAGGAAAAGCTAATGGGATGAATGAATCAGATCCAGAAGATGATGATGACGATGATGAGGTAACCTTAGAGCTCATATATGTTACATTATATGCATTAATATATACTTATATAGAGTACTGATCTGGTCAAGCGCGCCTGACCAGACCTGCCGTGCGGACTTGCCCGTTTGAGGGTCTTCCCGATTATTTTTTTGATGAAATTGTTTGAGCATGTTCTTTATCAAGTCTAGTTCACCCATACCAAATTTTAGCTTAAAATTCAATCGGGAAGGCAGGTAAATAAATTCTTGAAACATACTTCGCTTTATATATATACATAATGCGCAGTATGTTTCAAGAATTTATTTAACTGTCTTCCCGATTGAATTTTCAGCTAAAATTTGGTATGGATAAACTAGACTAGATGAGGAACATGCTCAAAAAAATTCATCAAAAAATTCTACCGGGAAGGCCCTCAAATGGGCAAGTCCGCATGGCGCATCCTGTCAGGCGCGCCTGTCAGGATCATTTCTCTACATATATATACATTGTAAATACATGTATATATATACACGGTGTATATATACACACACATGTACATGCATAAGTATAGGGATGTGCACGTGCGTGCACACATCTCGTTTTTATAATTGCAGTGTATTCTTCCACTTGAAAGTTCTCACTTCCTTTCTTTGTCTCTTCCTCCCTGGGTGGGAAATGATTATTATAGGAAGATGATTTCTCATCACCTGTATTGGCTCCAAAGCTGAAAGTAACTCCAAAAGAGGATCAAGCTGAGACCAGCAGTCCAGGGAAGCCAACTGGTTCGAGTTCCATTCGAGCAGGCTCATCAGCTTCGAAGTCAGCGAAGGGCAAACGAAAAGCCAGTGTGGATGAACCAAAATCTGCAAATGTTGCTGCTTCAAAAAAAGCGAAAACAGAAACGGTATGCCATGACGTTAAGGTGTTGGATGCCTGATAACTTAGGTTATGCACTTATGCTCACCAAGTTTTTTTTGCTTTCTATTTTCTTTTCTTTTTTTGAAAATGAAATTTTATTAGGAAAACCAGAAAAAGCAATTCTGGTTGTTTGGTTGGCAATTTTCAAAATTAGCACAATTATTAACAGTATGATTACCTTTGTTCATTATACAACCTATATTATACATGTTAACAAAAAAATAATGTTACGACGATAATGGAGCCCTTAATTTTATAGTTTTAAGATGTCAGTTTCACTTAAATCAACAAAAAGGATCCTAAAAAATAAGAGGCTAACCTTACACTCATATGAACCCTTCATCCCAATCCCAGCCCCATTGTGCAATAAACTTATATGTCAGGCTCACATCTACTAGACAACTGATCCCAGCCCTGTTGGACAACTGAAGGGGTGACCATGAAGTATGAACTTTTATGATTCAATACCAAGTTCCCTTCAATTACATAATGCTTCCTATTTAAAGGGATTGCAATAATAATTCTAAAGCAAACAAAAAAATGCAAAGCATAAAGAGAACTATAAATAATTTTGCCAAACTAACAACTCTTTGATAGCAAAGAATCCAAAGATAAATAAACAGAAATGAAATCTGTCATGGCTAATGTCGTTTTTCTATGTGGGTGTGGGGTACTCAATTACGGACAAAATGCGTTCATTATTTTGGTCGGTTGATCCCCTTTATATTTTGAGTTCCAGGAAGTGAAGCCAGTGAAAGAAGAAGCTATTCCACCTGCTGCTAATAACAATAGCATCCCCAACAGTTTGACATCATCATCTTTGACCCCACAGCAACCTGCAAGAACTGCTCCAACACCAGTGACTGAAGATGAAATTAGAGCTGTTTTGTTGCAGCAAAGGCCAGTTACCACTCAGGATCTTGTCAACCAATTTAAATCTCGACTGAAAACAAAAGAGGTTTGTCATTTTGTGCACTTATCTATTAAAACACCAAATCTATCTAGACCATTGTTCTAAAACGGAATAGGCTGTATGCCGTAGTCTAGCTCCCTAGGCAAGGATTTGTAGAAATAGCTAGTGCCTGAATCGGTCCATCGATTATACATTATTACTCATTTTGGCAGTGCAATTTCTTTTGGACTCGACTAAGCAATTTGACTCAATTTACTTCTCACTCATACAAAAAAACAGCATTACTTGATTACCCCAGTGCCACAAAGGCTCTCACCAACAGTGGGGTAAGGGGGTTGGATGTTCATAGCCTTACTCCTGTACTAAAGCACAGAGACTGTTTCTGGATGACCCATGATGAAAATCGCTCGAAAATTGCACGGACTGACTGCTTTCCAGTCTTACTTCTCACTCATACTTCACTGAAATTAGGAAGGGAAATTTAGTACAGAGATCTACATTGGAGGATCTGGTTTGCATAGTTCAGTTCCAAACTAAGTAGAAAGTTGGGATTAAAATTGGTAAACAAACTAAAATAATCTTTTTATGTAGAACCAAATATTAAACGATGTACGAGGACTAAACGGGATATAAATGTCATAGTCAAGGACCTCCAACAAAAAAGTTGATACTTGATGAGCCCAACAGAGGCACCTATGATTGTTATTTGATACAAAAAGCTTTATGCCTTTTGTAACTTGGATTTTGTGACATTGATGATCAGGACAAGAACACTTTCGCAGCTGTATTGAGGAGAATCTCCAGGATACAGAAGACCGAAACTGCTAATTATGTAGTCTTGCGAGAGAGGTGATTTTTTTTGTTTTGTTTTGTTTCGTTTTGTTTTGTTTTGTTTCGTTTTGTTTTGTTTTGTTTTAAAGGTTTGCATTGAATTGCAGAACTAAACAGCTATTTATTGGTCATTTTACATTTCTCCTTCATCTGACAGGACTAACCAGTAAGGCCAAAGTAGTGGTTTTCACTTACTGAGTTCTCCAACCTCAACTGATGATATCATGATATTAGCTCAAGACGCAAGAGAGGGTCAAGCATGAAGTACACTTTTTTTTTGTAAAAAAAAAAACATTATGGAGAGTAAAGACATGGAGAAAGAAGGAATTAACTTTGGCTGTATACATGAAACAATTGCAACAGGTTCTTTGCTGATTTTCATGCAGTGCATTTTTTTAATTTCAGTTGGTTATTGCAACTTTACATTTTAACATACAGAATGGATCACCCCCTTCCCCACGTGTATCAATCCCCCCAAGGCAGAAGATAACATGTTGCTTTGTGATCAACTTTGGTTCTGTTTGATTGCAGGAAAATAAGTTGTGCATAATGATTTCAATAGTTGTTTTCAAAAAAATGTTTTCAATAGTTGATGTATACATATTACCGTAAAAAAAATTAAAAATAAACTGGTTCTCGGAATGGCATCCTGTTCTGAATACAAGAACCATATTCCACAAATGCGTAAATAATCAGTGGAAAAGTTTTTTTCCTATGGGAAAATATTTTCTGTTCTTAATGTTGGTCATTATTCCTTAAGATTCCCCTTATTAGTTATTATGCTACATGATAGATAACTCATTCCGTTTCAAAATGAACTTTTATTTGCGACACTGGCTTTAGTGAATTGCGGAATTGGTACAGTAAGTCAATAATAAGATAGGAAGTACTATAGAAGCGCCAGTTTCAGACAATCAATTTACATGCTCCAGGAAGGCTTATCAATAAGAATAAAAAGTTCATTACACGACAGAGTGCATTGGCACAAGTGCATAACCAAATGCAACTATGGGAAACAAGTAAAAAAATCAAATCATTCATTGTTTTTAATGAGGTAATAATTTTAAAATTGTTGAGATGGACACCGTGAATGTTCATTGAAATCTTAGATATAAACTTGCTAGAGATATATGACAAAAAGAAAAAGGCCAATGAGCAAACTCGGCAAGAGTCCATTCAAACGTGTTGATGAAGATGGTGCAGCCGGGCCATCTGCGCTGAGGAGCAATGGAGGACTATTTGCATCATCTCTCTGAGTGTGTCTCTTCTCTCGAGATTGGACAGTGACCGGTAACTTGAGGCCATTTTTACAGCTCTCCAATTTCCCACTTGTGAAGTATCGGGTTCCCTCTCCCTCCAGACGGATTTGATCTAAGCCGTCCGTATACATTCTGATGGGGTTACTCAGATCGCATGAAATGTACTCCTCCAAACCTCCCAACTCGACGATACTCTCCTCTGCTGCAGAGTATGTAAACCCTGTTCAATAGTCACACAATTAACTGCTAAGTCTAGACTTTGAAAGAACACAATCTAAGCTTTAAAGAAAGATAGACTAATTTATATTCGGGTGGCCAATGGAGAGAAAACACTCACACACAAAGTCACCAACAGTGAAGGTTCTGCCAGATGACCAAGAAGCAATGTCATTTGACACTTCCCATCCTCTGTCCCCTCCCACCACATGATGCTCATCTGCTTTCACCCCTCTCCACCCCGCTCCTCCGGCAACCACCGTTGCTGTTGCAAGAACCACCGTCATCATGATGCCCCACGCCACCTTCCTCATCTATTTATCTCCTTTGCTCGCGCGATATTTTCAAGTAATTCACAGATCAGTCGGCTTGCAACTACCTAACTAAAGCAATTCAAACTTCTCTCTTCTTTAATTGTGTGTGTCTTGGGGGAGGAGGGGTAGAGCCGTAGAGACCAGAGAGTGCTTGGGAGTTAAGGAAGGTACCAAATAATTAAATGTATACTCCACTTTTTATGGTTATAACTTATAAGGCAGTTCCACTCCCAGCCAGGTGGGCCAAGTCCTAACCGCATCACTTCTTTAGTGCATAAGTACGTACCTAACTTACATGTCAACACTCAAAGAGTGTTTGTTTGGATTTTGTATGATAGCTTGGTAAAGTTTCATTTTCTCATGCTATGTGACTGTGTGTATTATTAATTCTAAATATATGTCCCTTATTCAAATTATTTATTTACTAGCTTTCAAGCTCATACGATGCACGGGCAGTATGTAATTTAGCTAATTTGAAATTTAATTTATATTGGATCACATATAATGTGATTTAAAAGAAAAATAAACTTAGTCTAATATAGAGTCTGTTTGATAATACTAAAGTAAATAGAATTAACCTATTTTGCTGAAATTGATTGAATTCTGGTTAAATAGGTAGAATCTTCTGAATCATGAAAAATATATGTGAAATATATTCCATTTGTGAAACAAAGAAAAAAAATACATGAAAAAAGTTAAATTGGTCTTCTACATAAGCATCTCAAGTAAACATAATTGTTATGAACCCAATAATAAAAAAATTCAATATTTCTTAATTGTTAGATCCTACAGTTTACTCATTAATAGGAACGTTTTTAATTGATTAAAATTTAGGGTTTGATTTGGTATGAATTAATATGGTCTATTAGATGTCTGTTTTTTATGTGACTTATTGTTATAATTATTAATGTTTGATCTGATCTGATTTAATCTGGAAGTGAAATCAATCCAATTAAAAACATTCTATTAAAATAAAAGTAGGAATTCATAAACCTATAAAGATTTTCTAATTTGGATTAGGAATCTATTTCAAAAGTGAAGGCATATTTGAATTTTAGGAGTAAAATAAAGAAACAACAAAAAAAAATTACTTATTTGGCTAAGCTAAACATATTTACTTGTGAATATATATATATACTTTATGTTGATTATAATTTTTAATTTCATTTTTAATTACTGGTATTTACTTATTTGAAGCTTACTAATTTATTAATAGGTGTCAAATTAATAAGTAAACTAATTTGCATATGTGTTTCTATTTAATTCGGTGTAGTAAACTAATATAAATTAGTTTCCATATCAATAAATGTTATTAGAATTTCACTTTGATAACCAAAAATTATTTTACTTATTTGAAGCTTACCAAATTAATTAAGGTGGATTTATAAGGATTTTTGTTTCCATATCGATATGCAATCAAAAATAGAATCTAATAAAAAAAGGTATAAAAATAAGTAAATAATTATTATATATAATGACATGACATGATTATGTGACGCTTTGTATACTCTTAAAAAGTTCCTCTTATATACATATATATTAACATAACATAAAAAAATTAGATTTTTTGTTTCAAATTTATTAAGCTTGATTTCATATTTTTTTTAGCTGACCGATTAGTTTTCAGTTTTAATGAGTTTTGTACTATTTTTTTTAAAGTGTCTAGCTGCTTGTGACCTGTTTGAAATAATTAACCTTTCCCTCTCCTCCAAAATCCAACTCCCAAACACATCTTAAGAGTGCAATTTTCTGCTTTATTGTATCTTCTTCATCACTCTTATTGTTCTCAATTTATATCTTTAAGAGAGTGAAGTTGAAATTATTCTTTACATTTGAGGCACTAAAGATACGAAGGATGCATGCTTCATTTGTTACTTCGTAGCTTTATTTTTCTTGCGATAACGCCAAAAAAAAAAGTATTATCATAAGCCAAACTCCTTGCAAACATTAAAAGTATGTTAATATTACATCATAATTTATATAACTGATGATAATAAGGACTCGAAAAGTGATAATTGAACTAAAATTGATGGGGTGCGTCAGGCCGTTGAAGAAGTGCAATGTTAATATCGTGTGGGCCAATTGTGGAGACTCCCTAACGAAAATCTAAATTTAGTACAATTCTAAATTTGATCTAATTTATGGTACGATTCAAATAACTCACTAAATATTATTTACATATAAAGGAGAATATGGGTAAGAATAATGCCAGCACCGTAATCGACATGAGACGGTTAGGATGAGGAGTTTAGCACATTATTAAGCAAATGAGAGCTACGTCATACATAATAGTATAATACCAATAATTAAGCAAAGCTATCAAACATTCGGATAACAAGGGAGTATATACAAAGATTTAGACTTATATTAGTAGCCCACATTTCAAATATTGAACTTATAAAAATAGATACTCCCTCCATCCCATAAAATAGTTCCCGCATGAATTTGGATCGAAGTTTAAGAAAGTAAAAAGATAGTGGAAATGTATGATTGTTATTGAATAAGAAAAATGTAAATGAATGTCAACCATACAAAATTTTCCAAAAAGGGAAATGAGAACTTTTTTTGAATGACCCAAAAATGAAACCGATAACTACTTTCTAGGATGGAGGGAGTATTACACTTGATCTTAATCAAAAGGTCGAGAAGGTATTTTATGATTTATTGCCCCACAACACTTTGCAATTTCATTCAATTTAAGCTTAGCCAACCTTTCATGTAAATAATAATTTACAAGTTTTTATTTAAACTTCTTATTTCTTACTATCCTCCGTTTTTTAATAGTTGCAACAGTTTGACTTTCACGTTTGTCAACACATAATTTTGACTGTAATTATATTTAATTATGCGTTAGTAATATAAAAAGTTAATATTTTGAAAATTCACATTAATAGAAATTTAATAACATTTTATACATAATAATTTGATTATATATATATTTGTAGAAAATTGTGGTGAAAGTTAGGTTTGTGAATAGTGTAAAAATCAATGTTACAACTTATGAGAAACAAAGGAAGTATTTAATTTGAAATAAAATGCTCAATTTCAACTTATTATACATTATATTATAAGTTGTTTTATAAAAAGTTTGTGAGGGGTTTTGCGACATGTGGCCATGTGCAGGGTGTAGCTAGAGGTCCAACCTTGGCCTTGGTCTAGCTCAAATCTAAAATATGCCTATATTTTTAGTGTAAGGATTTTCGTGTAAAATTTCACCGGGTCTATGTCGAAAACAGCGGGGCAATCATGACACCATTCAGTGCCCCGACTCCCCTCGTGACCATGTGGGTTGGGATTATGTGGCAACATAAAAGAGCTTGGCGGAATAGTAGTTCGAAGAGCCAATTGCAAGGATTTGGACGAAAGGTAATTGTGAACACACATCTTCAAATAGTTTGGGTGGGATATACCCATTTCTATAACCTACAATCTCAAAAGCATAGTAATGTAATTAAACTAATACCACATAATTCTTTTTTAGGAATGTCAAACTACATGTAGAGTATTATTGATCAAATCAAAGGAATCCGGAATACAAGACGGGGTGGGGGTATTCCACACATAGCAATCAAATATAGAAACAACTGTGCTTGCTATTTCTTGAACAACTCAATTCACTAGCCACATCATATGAGAAACAGAAATACTAGTGAAACTCGGCAAAATATCTTTGACATCATCAATAATGACATCGAGGGAAGATTCATCCGAACTATCATGATACTCTTAAAAACCTAGATAACGTTCGATTCAACGTCAATAATATCAAAGCCGTAGTTCCTAAGTCGTGAATGCACTTGCTAAGTCGTGAACAACCCAATTCTGTCACGCCCCGGACCGCGTCCGAGCCACGTAGACAACCGCCGTACAACCCGATAAGAACAACAATAGTTCATCCCTATTGAGTTGTACAAGGCGTCCGATTGATTCTATTGCCAAACCGATTAGTAAACACATACAATCAACATCAATATCATAATCAAACAAATGCGGAAATAATAAAATGTTTGATACTTAGCCACACGTGGCAAACACGGGCACGCAGGCCCCCAACTGTTTTAATGAAAACATTGTTCAAAAATCCATGAGCGGTTTATTCATTTGAAATAAGAATGGAAGCACGAACCACGTCTTCCTTCTCGATCAGTCACCCTAGGCAAAGGTGAAGGTAGTAGGACTCTAGCCTCAACCTGAAAAATGTGAGGGCCCCCGGAGGGGTCAGTACTCCATAGAAGTACTAGTGACAAGCAGGCTATATGAAGAATAACTAATGTTTCAGACACGAGACCCAAAAATAGGGTGATATATACATATAGATGTCCCTCATCCACCTGATGATACATACTGTATATATACTCGTAAAATACTCAACCCGTAGGTCATTTACCTTAAAGAGTCTTTTAGAGATAAAGTTCTTACCTGACTTTTCTCACTCCTTTCCCGGTTACCTAGCTCACAAGCTATAGTCTACCTTCGATTCATACTACCGAGTGTTTTAGGATCATTTACCGTCCAAGGCACTCAACCCATCCTGGAGTATTTAAGATCATTTACCGTCCAAGGGTACTCGGCCCCACCTGGAGTATTCTGGATCATTTACCGTCCAAGGGTACTCGACCCCACCTGGAGTATTCTGGATCATTTACCGTCCAAGGGTACTCGACCCCACCTGGAGTATTCTGGATCATTTACCGTCCAAGGGTACTCGACCCCACCTGGAGTATTCTGGATCATTTACCGTCCAAGGGTACTCGACCCCACCTGGAGTATTCTGGATCATTTACCGTCCAAGGGCACTCAATCCCCAGTCTATTCTCTACCAAATCCTAACCTGGATATGGCTAACCTTTCATTCCTTTAACTATGGACAATGCCTAGCCCTATAGTCATATAACAATCCTTAGGATCCAACGTGGGCGGGTCCCACCCGAACGGCCCACGTTAACCTACTCAAAACTGCCCATTCTGGGCTTAACCCAAGACCCGGTCGGGTATCCCACCTTACCCGGTCGGGTGGGGTGAGGCAGTAGCCCCTGGAGCCAACTTTACTTGAGACCCGGTGGGGTCTACACCCATGCCCGGTCGGGTCTAGTGTGGCAGTGGCTTCTGGAGCCATTTTTAATCAAAACCCGGTCGGGTATTCACCCATACCCGGTCGGGTATCACCTTTTTCTTGGCGGTCAACGCTCGTTTGACCGCCCAAACGAAGTCCGATTAACGTG